CGTTAAAAAAAGGCCAATGCAATATTAGTTCTCCATTAGCTTCTTCCATTTTATTAGGTGGTTAAGCAAGGTCGATGCAATATCGGTCACCCATTGGCTTCTTCCATTTTATTAATTGGTTAATGTAAGTCGATGTAATTAAACTCGGAATAATTCACTTAGTTGTTTATTCGAAGAGAGTTTAGAAGAAGTAATCACTTGCGCGATATAAATAAAGTAAAGCAATGGGGCAACACTTGGAAGAAAATGAATTTCATTCATCACAGAAAGAGGCCGAAGCCATTACAAAATAAAAGAAGAATACAGAGCCTAATCTACGTTCACGATCGCTCCGGCTCCTGCTTCTTCTTAAGTGGCCCCTTCCTCCTCCTCCTCTTCGGCCACTGGGCAACCCCCAGTGGGGCCACCGAATTCTTCCTCAAGAAATTCGATGTCCAGGTCAGGGTACCTCTCACGTAGGCGAGACAATATCTCTTTGGTAGCCCGGAGGCCCATAAGTTGGCGAAGTCATCATACTCCGACGTTTTATCAAAATTGTCCTTATAATTCTATATTGTCGCCTCGCCAATTGTCTTCGCCTTTGCTTTTAGAGAATCGATCTCGTCAGCCTGGGCCTCGATGAGCTTCTTCAACTCGGCCTTCTCCTTATTAGCCTCCACTACGGTCTCAGAGGCGAGCCTTTAATGCTCGTTGTATTGGTCGATTCGTTTGGTCAGAACGGCTACTTGCGAAGACGACTCGTGCTGCTCGTTCTTCAGTCGGTTAACTTGGATTTCAGTCGTGTCCAACTTCGAGGTGGCTGTTATCCATCTCTCCTCTACCTCCTCGGCCTCCTTTTTAGCTTTGGCCACCACATCCTCCTACTGGCTCAAGGCTTTAACCTTATCTTCCAGTTCTTCATTCCATTTGCGGAGGCCTCCAACCAAGTCTTCTGCCGCGGCGCCCATACTTAGGGCCTTGGCCACACAAGCGTTGTTGGCAGCCAACAGATCCTCTACTTCACACGAGGCGGCATGATTTTGCCAATCCTCGGTCCAGTACTTTCCATGGATTCGGGCTGTAGAGGCGGTTTCAAGAGGCAGCATTTCCAAAACTGCCTCGGGAAGATCTTCATCTTTGCTCCCCAAAAAGTTAGTGGCCTTGCCTTGAGCCAGAGTGACTACAAACCTCTTCTGCCTCTTTCGGCTGGGCCTTCGGTGAAATAAGCAGTTATCAGCACAATGGCATGAGGATCGGCCGAAGGGACCGCTACAGTCACCCTAGCATCAGGTGGAGGATAAAGGATTGCGTCGGATGAAGCTGAAGTAGAGGCCCCAGTTGGGCCGGCTCTATTTTTTTCTCTTGACGAAGGAGGCTCATTCCTCCTCCTCATTCTCCTCAGCAGGCTGTTGTCCAGCCCTATTGAGAGTAAGCAGACGCTCCGACTGCTTCTTGTAAGCAGACGAGCTAGTTCTCAACATCTTCGCCTCCGCAACCGTTTTGCAGATTAAGTAGAATACGACGTGGGGACAGTAAGAGGTGCCATCGGGTCACCCTCTATAGTATCCCACCTCCCGGATACCCAAAACTAGGAGCTCCTCCAGCCCGTAACAGACGTGGGCAGCCCGATCACGAAAGGAAAATGGGACTCCCAGGGCGCCAGTAGTACTAACCCTTAGTTTCGTCCCCCCTCTAGCCACTCTAGCCACACACTTCGGCAAAAATAGGGAGTGGAATATAATAAAGGGCATATCTAACCCGATGCTAGCCCGACACCAGAACGTCCATGAACCCACCATCTGAGACCATGAGTTCAGGTTGAGCTGAGTCAAGGCCAACCCAAAGGAACGAAGTACTAGCCTAAAGAAAGGGATGGAAGGTGAGTTTAAGGCAAGCCCTAATTATGTTTTCGCTCACCGCTATGCATCCTGGCCTCGGATAGCAGGCCCTCTCATGCGGCTCGGGTATTATCAGCTCTATGTTTCAGGGATTCTAAAAACGACCCCACCTCTCCAGTTGTTCTACGGTGATTTTCGAAAGATATTTCGAAGCTCCTCATTGAACTAAAGTATCCACAAGGGAGGTTGGATGTCTCCATATATTCTCTCCAGCCCTAATAGCATTACCTAGATCATCCGGAGTAATGGTTATGGGTTATCTGAAATCAGAACTCTCCTCACCCCCTGAGGCGTGCACAGGTTCACTGGCCATTTCGAATTTTAAAGAAATTTTTGAAGAAAAGATGAAGAAACTGACAAAAGGCGTAGTGTACCGGTGCAACAACAGAAACTTGTTATTTGCCGGGAATTTGCAAAATGGTAGCTAGAGTTTTGAGTGTTTGCCGGAGAAGAAAGCGCAAAGAACGATGAAGAAAGAACTTTTAAAGTCAGAAAGAAATTTTCACTAAGGTAAAAGGCTTAAAATGGAAGGAAGGGACCTTATATATGTGTCTTGAGACTCACCCCAGTCGTTGGATCAAGTCCAATTGCATCTAGGTCATCCAAAGCTAAGACCCCAAGATCACCGTTGAAACCAAAGGTCGCAAGATCAACGGTCCTGATGAAGCCGTAAGTCTCACACATAACCCGAACGCGTCGTCCCGAGAAATCGGAGTCGTCGCCATCATTACCATTTATGACAAAGGAGGCGTGCCTTGGAAGCAAGCAGACGCCCCCTTGATGCGTCTTGGGAAGACGCGAAAGCTTTCAAATCATTGGCACAAAACCCAAGGCCGTCTCCACAGAGTTGTCAACCCATATCATTTCGATCAAAGCAGAATCTAATGTTGTAACAAGTCCCTCTAGAGTTGCCAACTCCTTTCGCTTCGGCTACGTCACTTCGAGTCACAACAGCTCTCCACAGAGTTGTCACCCATATCACTTCGGCCAAAGCAGAATCTAAAGTTGCAACAACTCCCTCTAGAGTTACAAATCCTTTCGCTTCGCCTGCCTCTAACGCTTATCTCCATGCGTCCCAACAGCTCTCCACAGAGCTACCAACCCATACCACTTTGGACGAAATCATGGACGTTTGCTACCCAATCGCCTGCCTCTAACGCTTATCTCCATGCGTCCCAACTCAAAAACAGTTATAACTAAAAGTCCTTGTACTATATAAATATTCATACATGGACTTGCAGGACTATTGTTACGGGCCTGTGTCAGACTCGCCACCTCACCCGCCATATGTCAGTAGAGGTGGTCCACACCACGTCACGCGTCGACCGAGGTGATTGTACACGGGACGAGCTGATTGTACATGCCGAAATGATTACACGAGGAACGAACTGAACACGCCTCAGCGAATGAACCAGACTCACCCGCAAATACGCCGTGGATACAAAGCTTCGCACTCCACTTCTGTAACGCTGCAACACCTCAACTGTCTCGCCTCGCCTATCAAAGATATCTTGTACAAAGATCTTTTCAAAGTCAAATATCTGACTGATAGGACATGTGGCAGGACCCAAACGGTCAATTCAACTGCCTTTGTCAGAGACATTCAATGCCAGCCAACTTATGGCGGAATGAATTGACACCTAGGATAGGATGAGCCCTGAAGATCTGATAACACATGTCTCCTCATTAAACGGCTCTCCTCTTCCCATTCTTAGTATAAATATCCTCTCATTGTGCCAGAAGAAGGAAAGGCCCACACATTGGGATCACATATGGTCGAATCAAGATTTTCCCTTACTACATTGCAAATTTAAGTATTATCTTCCCTTAAATATCGGCACTTTATCATCATACACTTTATTAACCACTTCTTGGCAAGTGTTCTACTGTCGGCGAACCTTTTCCAGTTGAATTACAAATTGACTTGACCGTCGAGTGCTCGCAGTCGCTCCCTTCCCTTCCTGGAAAGGCCACGAGTGACTAACGGCGTGCTACGTGTGCAGGGAAGAGCTGACTTGAAGACTTATTCTGTTGGCCACGCCGGAGCCATTTTTCGGAATCAACAATTATAATCATGATTTAGTTACATATTTGAACCAATATAAAATGGAAAGGTATAATTAATTCAGCAATTGTGGTGTCTATTGACTTTCTCAATGTTCCAGTTGCTCCACCATTCGGAACATTTGAGAGGAGCTCATGGTAATTAATTGTATTCTTCTCATCAGATTACATGTAGCACTTGTAGATACAACTCTAATTCAATTATTTCCTAGTAATTGTTTGACCAAGAGTATCTCAACCTTTAACTATCAAAGAGCAATAAATATTAGGCATCTTGTCTGACTGAAAGGCTAAATTTAGTATTGAATCGATGATTTGGATGATCAGATTTTTTTTGCAAGTGTGAAAAGCTCAAAAAATTGGGAGGATTAATTCTCAAAATAAACAAAATATATCAATATATATTTTCTTTATTGCGAAAATTATTGAATTCAGTATGGAGGTTAGTGATCAGTTAATTTCAATAAAAAATGAGAGAGAGAACTCGATTTCTTTGGTAACCCCTTGTTTCACCGGATGCTTTTTTTCTTGATACAGAAAGGGACACCGTGAGGTAGTAATTTGTTTCGTTAGAATACGTTTTGTCTTTTCTCGATCGTTTTGGGACGAAAGAAAATCTGATTACAATTTCTAGAAAGCTTACAACATAAAATTGATATACATTGAAAGTAAATTGATTATTGATTGTTTGAAAGTTAGAAATTACAATTGTTGAAAGCGGAAAATTATAATGGTTGGTGAAGGGGACGAACACCAGAAAGCTTGAAAGATTGCTTGAAAGACTAATACTCCTTTATAATTACTTGAGGAACAAAAACTTAAATAATAGGAGTAGACGTTTAAATAACGAGGAATCATACTAAACGTTTATCAGATCTATTTTACAATTGAAATAAACTATTATAATGAAAAGGAAATTACAACTCAAATTTGAAATAATATTTATAATGTGCGGTTGAAATTGGGCAAACTGCGGCTGTAATTAGGTCAAAGGACTTGAGTAACGCTAAGGTCCTTAACACACGGAGTTGCTCTAATAATTGCTACTATTTAACAATATTACAGGTTCAAGTCATGTTTGTTGACATAAAGGTAGCTTACCAAATCATTGAAAAATGATGTTATTGGCAATGGAGATAATCCATTGTAATTCTTGTCTAGTTTTGCTAAGCATAAATCACTGACATCCTTGAACATCCAGTCTTCATGCGCTAAAGGTTGCGCAGCATATTCCTCAATTGGCATCCACTAGTTAGGATTAAGAGGCACATAATAAAATTTGTTAGATCTCCCGTGGTTTAATATTTGTCAGTTGAAAAGACAAATCATATCAAGGATTACCTGAGCTCCCGTGATTTCTGAATCTTGATTTTTAACGTCAAAGGTTAGAGGTCGTAGCATGCAAAGAAAGAATAAATCCGACTTCTCGAAAAAGTACTTGTGCATTTGTCTATCAGTTGAAGCAAAAAGAAAATCTTATAGTTCAACTTTGTGTCAGGGTATAAATAGGTGAAAACAATCTTCAAATGATGAAACTTGAGTTTCATTTCATGCGAAGTTTATACCTGAATGCTAGAACATCAGTAAATTCTGTATCAATCTGCAAAAATGAATACCTCTACTCTCTCAAAATATTTAAGAAAAATGAATGCACGTTTTAATTTATAAAACATTCATGATTACTTACTCCTGTTTCCTCTTGTACTTCTCTTTTTGCACCTACAGAAATATCCTCACCCTGTAGATTAAAAGAGTAACTTGTTGGTAGAACTTAAAAGAGAAGAAGCTCTTCCACCCTGAACTTAAACTTCAGTTTTATGTGCATACTTGGTCAAGTATTCCGGTTGGAATCTTCCAAATTCCTCTTTCCCGAAACCTGCCATACTTTTCTCGAACAACAAGCAACTGTAGAAGAGAAGTTGTAAGATTTAGAAACTGCAATAATGAACTCTAGAGAGTCATTTCAATAAACATTGATTGCCTATTGGATAATTTGCAGTTGACATGCTTGAAAATTTTATTAACTAAAGGTCACTGTCTTCCTAATTACCACTTAAAGACCAGCATCTTCTTTACTAAAGCATCACAAATATACAAGTGCCAGAAGTTACAGAAATGTTGAAGTACCTCTCTTTTATCATTCAGGACAATGGCACCAATTCGAACTCGGTGTGTTGCATGTGCAGGGATGGTATTGATAGTTTCAGGAATCCAGTATACTAGCATCAAGTAATGAGGCTCAGCGTGATGATACCAAAATCCTTCCTGCAACCAATATTATTATTGTGTCGTTTGATTAACTTTTAATAACTTATCCGATTTATCCAACATAACATGGTATAGAAGATGATTTCAAAATCTTGAATTGATTTTAGACAAGCAGCTGCAAATTGTTGGCAGGTGCCAAATCAGCATCCAATCATTCATACCTTCCAATTTGTTGGATTTTACCTTTTAACACATTATGAATGACATCCCATTCAAATAATCTATACAATAAAGTTTAAATCTTTTACAAATGACACTTCTAGGAATCATTTGGCCTAGAAATGGAGAGTTGCATCTTAAATAGGACCATCAATGTATTGCCAAATAGACATGCATTTTGTTACTGAGATCTTTAAGGAATTTGGTTATGAATTTATAAAATTTAGACGTGTAATTCCAATGTGATAGAATAGAAAAATTACCTTGACTGCAATTTCAACAAGATTTGCAAGTTGAATTGGTAATTTGATCCACACACCCTTCTTGCCCTGATAAATAACTTCATCAAACAATCATAAAAATTACAGAAAACCAGAAATATTTAGGATGGTGTTGAATACATTTTAGATAATTTCTATTTTATTGACCACAAGAAATCCATGCCATATTGAAACTTAAACAGTTGACTCTGCAGTACATCACAATTTAGCAATCTTCTAAAGCATTTTGATAGCTTGCAAATACTAATTACAATAAATAATGATGCAAGGAATACTTAGTTTCACTCAGAACTGGTAATTATCTGAAAGGCGAATCAGATGATTACCGATATATGTACAGGGTCAACATTACACTTCAAGTGGAGAAAGTCTTATATTACGCAAATGGAGCGGATTCTGAGAAAACTATCTAAATTGTGGTTATTTGAATTTGTCATGTAAATTGAGTGTGGCTGATAGAAATTCTTTTACAAGTTCGGCAGCACAAGTAGTTGCAGAATAGATTCAAGGAAATTAGATGTTTCTGTCCATAAATTTCCAAGACCAATGAAACATTGTAAAAGGGCAGCTAGTAGAAACAATGAGAATAATTTGAAGCCAAAGTGTTGCAGTACCATCCTACATTTCTTAAACATGTTATTAATGAAACATGTAAGAAAATAGTAAATTAAATAGCTCTATTCTGTAAGTGTGCGTTTGATTGCAAGTGTGGAAAATTGGTGAAAAGAAAATGTTTTACAGGGAAAAGATTTGCCTAGAAAATGTTTGTAGGGAAAATGATTTCAAATGTGTTTGATTGGTATAATTTTCCACCCGGGAAATTTTTAAATTTTCTATTCGTTTGACTTTCTTTTACATGGAAATGGTCCATTAAAGTGATATTTTTTTTCACAATTGGTTATAAAATTTATTTTCATTGTCAAAAAGTAAAAAAAAAAAGAGAAAAAAAATTGTTTCCTAAAAAATCATTTTTTTATCAAAGGTTAGTGTTCGTTTGACTTTGTTTTACATGAAAATTGTCTATTAAAGTGAAAATTTTTTTTGCCATTAGTTATGACATTTGTTTTCATTGTCCAAAATAATCATAATAAAAAAAAATTCCTGTTAGCTAGGAAAATATTTTCCCACCAAAAAGGCGGGAAAACATTTTCATCAGAAACCCGGAAATTGCACACGTGTGGGGAAAATCCGGCAAATATTTTCCGTGGAAAATTTCGCCTATCAAACAGCCAAAAAAGTGGAAAGTGAAAAATATTTTCCTACTTCCCCGAAAATATGGCCTATC